TCTCTCTCTCTCTCTCTCTCTCTCTCTCTCTCTCTCAGAGCAACCTCAGTGTTTGTAGCTCTATTAACCAGAAGCGAGCTCGACCGCTTTGTGCATTTGTAACTATGCAATCTAACAAAATCGTACCTTGTAACTTCGTAAACGTCACTTAACAAACGCCTAAAAGTTTCTCAGCGTGACATTATATTGATTTATTTAAATGCTTTAGGTGAAATATTAGTTTAAATGTAATTTATGAAGTATGTTTCCGGTCATTGGACCGGACTCGGTTTTTTTCCGAGTCAGTCAGTGAACGCAGCCTGACAGGTCACATGATTCATCTGGATTTTAACTAACACTGATTCAGAGCGACTGTTTGAGGTAAAAAAAAATAAGGATATTAACTTGTGTCTTTTTGCGTTTCCAGGACATTAACATGTATTTTTGACATGAAGTTGTCGCAGTTCCTTTTATAGCTTGTTTTTGCAGTCCTCATAAAGAAGTAAAACAGTGACAGTGTTGCTGAATGATGCCTTTATCTTAATGAGTCTAAAGTCTGATTTAGGTGTGCTTCATCCCGGAGTTGTCTCGAGGCTGAAGTGATTCTTCAAAGTTCTTGCTTTTTTATTCTCCTTGCAGGATCATGAAGCTGATCATCCTGAATGACTATGACCAGGCCAGCGAGTGGGCTGCAAAGTACATAAGAAACAAGATTTTACAGTTTAAACCTGGACCTGACAAGTATTTCACATTAGGACTCCCCACAGGTAAGAAAAGTAGCTGGCTGCAAAAATTGTACAGATGTATCACACTATTTTCACATTTTGAAGCATTGTCACAGGTGGTTATTTCTGCCTACATCCACTGACTCTGACACTAACTTTTTTTTTGATCAGGTACAAGTGTGTTACTTTGAGTTTCATCGGTTTCTTGTTTTTTTGTCGTTGCRTCTTCAGGAGGTACCCCTTTAGGTTGTTACATGAAACTGATTGAATACTACAAAAGTGYAGAACTCTCGTTCCAATATGTGAAGACTTTCAACATGGATGAATATGTAGGTGAGTTCTTATCAGGCTTTCCACACAAAATAAACACATTGGGGGAAAAAAAGCTCGAAAGCTTTGATCTTGTGTAATAATCTATCATAAACTACATTTTTTTTGTAGGACTTCCCAGAAACCACCCAGAGAGCTACCACTCTTTCATGTGGAATAACCTCTTCAAGCACATAGACATAAGAGCAGAGAACACCCACATCCTCGATGGGAACGCCGCTGACCTCCAGGCCGAGTGTGATGCCTTTGAGGAGAAGATAAAAGCTGCTGGAGGGATTGAGCTGTTTGTTGGAGGTCAGAGAAACCCAGTACTGATAGAGAAGATATTGTAGTATTTAGAGAGATTGTGCGTTAAAAATCTATATATCTTGTGTCAGGTATTGGACCTGATGGCCACATTGCCTTTAACGAGCCTGGTTCCAGCTTGGTTTCCAGAACCAGGTTAAAGACTCTCGCAAAGGACACCATCATGGCCAACGCTCGATTCTTCGATGGAGATCTTTCAAAAGTGCCCACCATGGCTCTGACTGTTGGAGTGGGCACGGTCATGGATGCAAAGGAGGTTAGACTGAATGAATGTCCTTCTTTGTGTTTCTGCATAAAATCGAGCACAACTATTAAAGGAATTATTAGTTTTTGTATCTTCATAACTAAAACAAGTCACTCTTCTTTAGTGTTAGCTTCCATGAAAGCCACAGTAATAACTTACATTCTTATAAACCTTGCAAATCTCAGTAGTCTAAATGATCCAGACCCATCTCCAGTTTGCCATTTATCTCTAAAATATTACAAGATCATTTTTTTCACCCAGTCTGTAGCACTGAAATGACAACTAATTCTGTTCTTTGGGCATACTCATTCTTCTCCCTTAATTGTTTAAATTTCTGTTTGTTCAGCTCAAAAGTTTCCAATCTCAACCAGCCCCAGACAGTTATACTGTATGTGGTGTTCCCCAGGGCTCAATCCTGGGAATCTCCCATTTGAATTTTATTTCGCACTCAGTCTTGTTTTTGTGAGATGCAAAATAAATTCTTCCTGTTATGCTGATGACACCCACCTCTGRCTCTCTGTTAAACCCACTTGCACACGCACTTCCTTCCTTTTCTTTGCTTGACTGTTCAGGAGAGATCCAGAACTGTTTTCTGCTCAAAATGTAACCAAACTCAACGTGTTTTGTTGGCTCCAAGTGTCCACCCCTTCAAATCTTCCTGTTTTTCTGTCTTCTTCTTCTTGTTCTTGTTCTTGTTCTTGTTCTTCTTGTTCTTGTTCTTGTTCTTCTTCTTCTTCTTCTTCTTCTTCTTCTTCTTCTTCTTCTTCTTCTTCTTCTTCTTCTT